AGATGTGTTAACAAGCACTGTGTAACATGGTAAAAAGAAAGATAGTTCCTTGTTGTTGTGAATGTGTGTAGAATAAAATTTAGTGATTATTGGTGGTTTGTATTTTTGTATGCGGGGAAACAGATGAACACATTCTGATGTTCTTTTTTCTTTTTTATGCATCAGGTGGAATATTTAGCATGTTTGATGGGCGGCTAGGAGATGTTCTAATGCAGTCAGCTGGAGAAACACTGGTACAGAACTGGATGAACCCTGAAAATGAACCAACTATTGTATGATGATACATTCATCATACAATAGTTGTTTGATGATGCATTCATGAGGCTACGCTTCATGAATATCTTGTACCGCTGGAGTTGATGTTTGATACACATATGAGGGCAGGCTTCATGTATATTTTATTTTAAAAAAAAACAGTTTATTGCACATGCTATTGATTCTGCACTATAAGATTGCAATGCATATCTTGTAACACTGGAGTATTATGTTGATGGATCTACACACATGAGGGCAGGCTTCATGAAATATTGCTCAATTGGATGCAAATCTTAATATGCTTCAAATAGACTTGGATGAATAGTGTGCAGACAAGGGGGCTGAACCAACGCTAAGTAAACAATTTAAATATCATTTGATTTGTGTTAGGTGTTTAATATTTAACCTGTAAGCTGGGGTAGAGATTGGGTGCAAGACCAGGGTGTGTCCACATGCCAGTTGGCCATGTGTCAAACATCTTTCCTTTATGGGTCCACAATTCCACCAAGTCACAGCCAACATTTGTCCCAGGCAATGTGTGATGCAATTATACACTCCTTAAACCCAATAATAAAAATTAGATGTTATGGTAGAAGAAAAATGTAATACTGTTACGGAGAATGTTTCTTTTACTTCAGTTGTTCATGTCTTCTCCTAATGCTTGTTTAATGCAGGCCCCTGTTAATAATAGGATTATGGTCCATGTTTAATGTTTTAAAGTATTTTTGTAAATTTTATATAATTCGGACTTGGATGCAATTTTAATGTTAATAAAAAGAAACCGGAAAAACTGAATCTAAATAAAAGGCATTATTACATTATTCTAATATATGATGTCACCTGCTCATTATACTAACCTCATTAATATTTAACTAAAGTACGGTAGTTATTATTTTATATATAAAATGATAAATTGTTTATTTACCATATGGTGGCAACAACATGCAAAGGTCCCCTTGACCACACCTTAGGAAATAGGAGTCAGGGGACATGGATCTGGACTCACCAAGTCACCAAGGCCCAACAATTTCCATCCCCACCCCCTCTTTCTGCTTGCTTTCCCTGAACGTATACC